AAACGCTTTTCACTCGTCAAATCGGAAAGGTGTTCTTCTCCATGACAAGCACGTCCACATGTGGCACGTTTGACGAAACACAAGATTATAGAGTTGGGAAGTTCTTCTCCACCCACCATATTGTACAGATATGGCACCATCAGATTACCATCTTGTTCGTTCGCTGCAACACCATCTACGTGGGAAAACGTATGCAAATGTGGAAGGTGTTAAAGAGGACATCGACATGTTTTTTTTTTTTTTGCTTCAAAGCTAATTGATTTCTTTAATCACTGCATTAACAACCTGATTGTAAGATGGAAAAGCATCATCGATAAGAATGAAGACTATTTCATTTAATAAAATGTTTTGTTTTGATATAAAAGTTGTTCGGGTTTTTTTCATCTACAAAAAAAAAATCGACATTAATTTCTTGACGACCTAATACTTTATCACAATATCTTCTTTTTCTTCGATTATTAAACAAAACCGCAATCTAAGTTATCAAATTTAATTGCTGTAGATACACCGTGTATGATTAATGAGAGTTTACACAGAGATACGCCCTTTTTATTCATAAAACTTCAGAAACAAAGAGAAAACCCCAGTGAGGCGAGTATTTGGAAAACGCCTCGCCGCACGTGTTCATATCGTAGGATGTGTTTTTCTCCCTCATCCTTCTTTTTGAAATATTTGTTTCATTCAACAAATAATTAAGTTATAAGAACGCTTAAATACTATCCAATTGAATTATATGCACTCTAAACTTCACCTGTTAAACAAACAAGATAATTAAGTACTTTCAGACAGACTGTTGTTTTATTCAGGGTCTGACTTTGTTACGTAGCCGTTTTTCAATCTTCCAGAAGGTCGAATAACTGTTATCTTTTAGCGTAGAATGATTTTAAATAATGTTCTCTGTCTGTCTTTTTTTTTCTTCTTGGAAACAATAAATTTGCTGTAATTAGAAGAAAGGAAAACGTATTCATGATTCTACTGGTGAAATTATATATGTTAATACCCGATATAACTATCTTTCAAAATGTTTTATTTAAAATGTGTGAAATACCATTAAAGACTTGCATATGGAAGAAACTGAAAACTTAATTTACGTATTAAGTTAAATAAATATCATTAACCTTACACTATGGTTAACACCCTAGTAAATAAACATACACAGCGTGGT